TTGGGACTGAGCAACTAAAAGCCCCCCCCCACACAGTCCTTTGGGGGTTCAGCCTCCAAATCTCCTGGTAAACTGTGCCTCCAACTGCAATGATACTCAAGGGTGAAGGAGGCACTAGAGAGGATTATAGACTTTATTAAAGCATAATCTTTTGGCTGAAATAATTATTACTTTTGATGTACTCTTTGAAAAATATTCTAAACTCTTTTCTGGCAGGTTTTGTCATGTATTGCAGGTGATTTTTTATAATTAAAAATATTCTACCAAGCAAACACCTGCTTCTATTTCCTGCTACTGCTCTCAGTTATCCAGTGATTAGATATTAATGCTCTGTTTTTTTTACATGAGATAAAGTTTAGAGACTGCACCCACGGAAATATGAAGCAATGCCTATTAGCAGAAATGCAAAGTGTATATCAAGGTCCATAGGCCTTGGGAGAGGAGAGAGCAAGATCTTGCACATGAAGCTGAGCCAGGCGAATATGAGTTACTGAGACTGACTAGAAATGCGTATATAGTGAAAGGGGTGTGTGATGGGGTGTATCATGTGTCCCTCCCCATTCATATATTGAAGTCTAGTATCTCAGAATATGACTATATTTGGAGATAGGGTCTTTAAATACATAATTAAGTTAAAATGAAGTTATTAGGGTGAGCTTTAATCAAATATGACGAATGTCCTTTTAAGATAAGATCAGGAAACACGCATACATACACATGGGAGATTATGTAAGGAGAAAATGGCCATCTACAAGCCAAAGTGAGAGGCCTTAGAAGAAACCAACTCTACTGACACCTTGATCTTGGACTTCTATCCTCTAGAACTCTGAGGAAGTAAATTTCTGTTATTTAGGCCACTCCACCCGTGGTACTTTGTAATGGCATCCCAGGCAAACGAATGCAGGGTGCAACCAAAAATTGATTTAGAATGATGTTGCTGTGAGAACTTGTACTCTGAGCCTCACACGCACAGAATGAAACTGCCTTTGCACCATTCCACAATAAAACTGGATCTTTTCTTAAGGCTTTAGCATACATTTTCTTGCTATCATGTCATCCAACTATGACGAGTCATACTTCTTTATACTGAACTTAATCATCTGTCTTCCTCTTTTGTGTCTTCACCTGTGCTGAACATGTACAAATTTGTCAAGCCTTCTGTTAGTTACTTATCCAAGCTACTCATATTTCTCTCTTTAAAGTTCACCATGTAAGTCCCTTTCTTTAATCTGTAAATTTAAATTGCTAATGTGCTACTTGTCTAGCTGTTCTTTATAAAGTGGCATTTGGGGGTGTTTATCTTTTCAACTCAGAAGAAGTGAAGGGACTGATTGTTGAATTCTTGTTTTTGGCTGCATTCTGAGCTCTGCTGAGGCTGTGAGCTGGCTTAGGGGAAGTCAATACACAAGGGCTCTATATTTGGAGGGGCTTTATATAGGGATATGGAAATGTCCTTTGTTGTCCTGAATATGTGTCAGAGTACAATTCATTGCCCAATTCATATCCTTAGGTCAACACAAAAGACAAAGAGGGCCAGGGGGTGAATATAATTCCATATGTTGGTAAATATCTCCATGGAGACCAGAAAATGCATAATCTCTATGGAGACCCTCAAAATCTCTCCTCCTGAAATTAGAGTAGTATATGATCTGTTGTAATTAAAAGTTTAGCGTGGTGGAAAAGTGACAAGAGGAAGAGGATGAAAGGATAATTCCTTAGTGGAAATATAGCTATCATGGCTCTAAATTTAATCAATTGTGATATTGTAAAATTCTAAGTTAGGATTCAGGGAGATCATGTCTCTAGGATGAAATAAGAGGTATCTAAAACTTTAATATTTATATGCCCAACACTGAACCAGATGTTTGACATGTAGTTGGCATTCAAAAGGTGTGTTTAAGTGTGAATGAATGCAATGAGCAATTGGGCAGGATCACATCATGGGCTCAGGCCCTGTCAATCACCTCTGCTCTATTAAAACAAAGGGAGAGGGCCATCATCTAGGGAACATAGGGTAATGTCTGCATATGACTGAGCAGAACAGTAACTTGCTTCTTTCAAGGAGAATACTGCTCAATAGTATAAATATGGTCAAAGGAGGAAATGAAGTTCAGTTGTGGTAAGGAGATAAACAGGGTATGGGGAAATTAATAAATGCAAGTCACTGTGTCCGGTTAAATTATATCCCACTGTAACCTACATGTTCTTAGCCTCACTAGTCTTTGGATATGAAAAGGGATTCGGATTACTCTGTACACCCAAGTTATTATGGTCTAATGTCCCTTGTGGCTTATTTGTTGGAAATTAGCCCACTACAAAATAGGCCCTAGTGTTTTTTGAGAGTTTCTTATAGTAATGCCTCAGATCAGTGCCCAAACATTTCTGTTCACTTGTTTTATTTCTTCTTTTTATGGTCCATTATTGCCCTGACTGCTGACCCTAAGGAGAGACCTCTTAGCATGATGGTCTCCACTGGCTGACTACCAAATGAAAAAAATCATCTTTAATTCCAGAGATAGCCACTGCTAAATCTTAGTGTATATATTTCCAGGTTTTTCTGTTTACACATATATGCATACAATTATACATATATGTAAATGATATATATTTAAATCTAACTTCATACACATGAAGCAGTTTGAGATCAGATTATACATGCTGTTTTGTACCCTGCATTTTCTTTTATTTTTTTCCTTTAATTCCGCGCTCCCCACTTCCACCCCTGACCCATGGATGTTGCCATTTCCCCTTGAGAACTGGATCTCTGAAGGCCTGGACAACTCCTCCCATACGCTGGCACGTGCCCCTGCAGTCTGGTGCACCCAAGGCCTGGCACACCCAGTGGATGGTCTGTGGCTCCTTCTGCATGCAAAGCAGACGTGCTAACCACTACACAATGGAGCCCCCCCGCCCTGCATTTTCTTTCTTAGCAATGTAAAATGAAAATATTTTCCATATTACTAAATTTTGAAATAATTTTTAATGACTACATGGTACTCACTGTATGAGTATAATAGCATTTACTTAATCCCCATTAGACTTCATGTGTTCCCAGTTTTCCTATGATTATAAATATCATGTAACTGCATCTTTCTATATCCATTCTTATGCACTTCTTGGTTGTTTCTAAGAATTCTTGGGTTGAAGATTATGGACATTTTTAAGATTCATGCTCTTGCTTTACTGTTCAGCTCCTTATGAACCCATTTTTTCAGGGACACAAAATTTACAAAAGATGGTAAACTCCTAGGTATCAGAGTTCATGTTTTTCTTAACATTGTATTTGCCAAACTCCTTTCACAGTACGTGTGTGTGTGTGACAGGGCTTTACAACTCAGTGTAGTGTACCAGTGACAACACTGAAGGTATCGGAGGTAAAAATCCCGAGGAAAAACGCGCATGTTTCTAAAGGGAAAGCAGGGATTAAGTTTTAGTGTCCCACAGAGGGAATTTAAATTCTCTGAATACGTGACACCTCAGAGAATAAACCCTCCTTAACTCGGTGGAGGACTTTCAGTTTCCTACAAGAGTCTAAACTTTTGGGGGCTCACTTTATGTACGTCCAACCTCGCACAGCGATGGTGCAACACGGGCATTCACGGGCATGAATCGGAGGTAGAGCTGGTCACTTCAGTGGCTAATACTTTGTCATTGTAAATAAAATACTTTCTGGAGGCATTGACTCATTCTTTCTTGTTTCTTTCCTTTACAGTTGGAAAAGAGGGTACTAAATGGCGGAGGCAGAACTGGTGCCCAGAGCAGACCTGAGGCTTTTACCGGCAGCGGAGGAGAGGGCTGGGGTAAGTCTAGACACGATTTCCTTCTATTGTCTTCCTTTCCTCCTTGCCCCTCCCTCACGGTTTTTCCCTTCACGTGGTGGACGGTCCCGCTTCGGACCCGATTCCAGAGATGATGGTGTTCACCCTCCTCACTTCTTAGCCAAATTTAGAGCGCCTAGCATTCCAAACGGGGCTGTTTTCAAGTAGCAAAAGCACGGAGAATTAACAGCTCTCGGCCTCTCCTCTCTCGGTTTCCTCCTTGGGTTGGCTGGAAACTTCACCCAGACACGAAACTTCACCCAGACACCGAAGAAGCTCCGCCCTGGTAGTTTCAAACCGGACTCTAGCTGAGGCCCCGCTGGGCACTCTCCCTTCCAAAGTCTCCCTGCCCCAGGCTCAGTCCTCGGGGAGGTCGCCTAGAGCTCGTTTCCCAGGGGCAGAAGGAGGGTGGGCTCGCTGGAAGAAGGCAGTGGAGGCAGAGTTGGTGCTCACCGCTCCTTTGCCATCCAGACCCCCCACCCCAGGCGTCTGACCCGGTCCAGACCGGGGAATGTGGGTGGGCACAAAGCCAATCTCGGACTCTCACATGGTTCCCTCTTTCCCACGCCGAGAGGGCCCCCTCCCCCCACCCGTCCGTCCTCCCCACTCCGCCCAGCCAACTGAGGGCGGGGGCCAGCTCAGGGCGACATTCG